CTGCCTGGCACCCTGCCTTGGCCTGGTGCCGCCCCTCACCTGCTCCACCATCCCACCTGCAGGGTGATTGATCAGGGTCAGGCTCCTGCCCGGCTTCCTCAGCACCTCAGAGCTGGGTGGTGGCCCTGCCCCTGCTGCCAACGCTGGTTGCCATTTGCAGGATGATCGGGCTCTCACTCACACCTGCCTTGGTCTGGTGCCGCATGCTCACCTGTTTCACCATCCTTTTGTGGTCCCGCTCTCATTGGGACCCATTGTGGCCAGCAGCACCTCCACTGCCTCCCGCTGCCAGTGCCGCATCGCTGACGCCCACCATGTTCCACTCCGCCCCCTGGTGGTCACTGCATGTCATAGCGAGCAGTTGAACTCCCAGCCTCTTGGTCGACCCCCAGTATCCAGGTCGAACAACCACCCGAGGGGACAATTTGCATATTAGGCTTTTATTATATAGGATTGGGGTGACATTGGCTAATAAAACCATTCAGGTTTCAAGTGCTCCACTCTATAATACATCATCTGCATCCTGCATCATGTGCTCACCACCCAAAGTCAAATCTCTTTCTGCCACGATTTATCCCCCCTTTGTGCTCTTCAACCTCCCGCACCCCACTTTCCCTCTGGCAATCACCATACTGCTGTATGTGTTTGTTTTGTCCTTCTTAAAATATATTTTTATTTGATTTCAGCGAGGAAGGGAGAAGTAGAGAGAGATAGAAACATCAACGATGAGAGAGTATCATTGGTCAGCTTCCTTCTGCACACCACGCACTGGGGATTGAGCCCACAACCCGGGCAGGTGCCCTGACCGGGAATTGAACCGTGACATCTTGGTTCATAGATCAACACTTGACCACTGAGCCACACCGTCTGTGCCTGGATTGTTTGTTTGTTTGCTTAATCACTTCACCTTTTACACCCTAGTCCACAGCTGTCAGTCTGTATCTATATGTCTGTTTCTATTTTGCTTGCTTATTTTCTTCATTAGATGCCACATATAAGTGAAACCATATAGTATTTGTCTTTCTCTGACTGGCTTATTTCACTTAATATAATACTCTCTAGGTCCATCCATGCTATTGCAAAGGGTCTTAGAGATGTGGGAAATATGGAGAGCTTGATAAAATGTATAAACTTTATTTTCGTTATAAAATAAGTAATATCTGAATATAACATGGTAACTACAGTTGATAACACTGTATTGTATAATTAAAATCTGCTGAGAGAGTAGAACTTAAATGGTCTCACATATATGATGGATGTGTTGATTTGATGGGAGGAGGAATCATTTCACAATGTAGATGTATATCAAATCATCATGTACACTTTAAATATCTTACAATTTTATTTGTTAACTATACCTCAAGGACTAAAAAAAAAAAAAGTAAGCTCATGCTAGGTGATTGGAAGAAAAAAGAATATCCTCTCATAATATAACTCTCATCCATTTAATTATAACTTTTTAGTTACTCTCCTAAGCTATCTCTATTGACAAGTGTTTATAATAGGCAATGAAGAAGTTTTATCTTAAATTCATTTTTTCTCCTTAGAAGATATCTTAATGTTAACTATTCTATATAATAAAAGCCCAGTGACCATAATGGCATAATAACCACAACAACCGCTCAACCAGTCGCTATGAGGTGCATTGACCACCTCTCGGTCCCTTTCCCCTGACCCACAGGCTCCAATTGCCGGATGGCGAAAGGGGAACCACGGTGGGTGGTGGCGGAGTGGGACTGGGGATTGGTGAACTGGCGGAAGATGATCCTGATCGCAGGCTAGGCCTAGGGATCCTACCTGTGCACTGAGCCTCTAGTCCTATATAATAAAAGGGTAATATGCAAATCAACTGAACGGCGGAACAACTGGTCGCTAGGGGGATAGGAAAGAGGACGCTGCCTAGGGTGTTTAGAGGGTGGGTGGGGTAGGAGTTAGGGTCAGAAGAGGGTGGGCTTTTTAAAATATATTTTCATTTGTTTCAGAGAGGGAGGGCTGACCGCTGGCGAGCGCAGTGACACTAAAGATGTCCGACTGCGGCTTAGGCCCAGAGGGAGCAGGCATAAACTGCAGTCGGACATCCCCTTAGGGCTCCGGGACAGTGAAAGGGTCTCTAGCCTCTATATAATAGCTTGTGCCTATCCTAACTATTAAGCAATAAATCTCAGACCATTTGTTTTCTAAAAGATTGAGCAAATCAATAAAATATGACAGCCTCAAAAACATCTCTATAGCCTGGCTGGTGTGGCTCAGTGATTAAGTATGGACCTATGAACCAGGAGGTCAGGGCACATGTTCAGGTTTTGGGCTCTATCCCCAGTGTGTGGTGTGCAGGAGGCAGCCAATCAATTATGTGCTCATTGATGTTTCTCTCTCTCCCTCTCCCTTCCTTTCTGAAATTGATAAAAATATACTTTCAAAAAAGACATCTCTATATAATATTGTTTTTTTGTAGGGATGTCTGAAATAAGCATTGCTAAAATCAAAAAATAATTATGGTAAAATAAGTCTACTTGATGAGGATGGTTCTCATTCTGAACCTTTAGACTGTCTACACAACATAAATTGAAAGGCAGTTCGGTTTTCATCTAGATTATTTTAGCAAAAGAAATAACAAATAAAAATAATTTTATTCTCTAAATAAAGGCCTCTAAAATTTCCAAAATGAACACTATAAAATAGTAACATTATTTAGTCTGTTATTTAACCAAACAAATGTTTTACATGGATCTATTGTTTAAAATTTTTCTGTCAATTGTTTTATTGCTACATGAATTCACTTGGTGCTAGGCAAATAGCAGAATTTATTTATCCAACTACTCAAGCAACATTAACTAGTACAAGATATTTTATGTGTTCACTATTTATTGAGTGACTATTGTCATCTGTATCTTATGGAAAATGAAGTAGACTGCATTATTTCTGACTTTAAGAGCTTTGTAGTCCATTAGAGAATAAAAAGAATACACACACAAAAAGAAGCTATCAGCTTACATTAACAAATAAATGCTAGAAATGAAAGACTCTTGGATTGAAAAGAGGGCACAAAGTGAGTCAGAGTAGCCATAAAAGACTCTAATTAGAAGATAGATGGAGATCAGGGATAAATAGTAGGAACAAAGACTCCATAGGAGAATTGCTTGAATCTGGTCCCAGCAATAAATATTTTGGGCTAGCTACTGTGATGCGTCTATGCAAAGGACAAAATGGTTGACACTTCTATTATAGAGAAAGGGCGAATAGCAATATTAAAATATTTCTTCTAACTAATGTCCTTTCAATGTGCACAAATTGTGCACCAAGACACTAGCGAAAAATAAAACTGTACAGAGTAGAGTGTGGAGACCAAATAGCTCCCCTTAAAGTTTCCCTGTGAGAAAAATGACAGCTCTTGCTCTTAAAGAGTGAAGTGCTTTGATAGACTAATCGTATATTGAATTAATGAGTGCTATACTTATCTCTGTAATGATATGTGGTACTGCACATTATATTTCAGAGCTGTCATCCATCTATTGATCTATACTGTATGTCTATATCATTTGGGTGAACTAAAACGTCACTGAAAGTCCATTTTGGACTTGATTCCAAAGTTGTCTTTTAAGCCAAAACCGGTTTGGCTCAGTGGATAGAGCGTCGGCCTGTGCACTGAAGGGTCCCAGGTTCGATTTCGGTCAAGGGCATATACCTCGGTTGCGGGCACATTCCCCAGTAGGAGATGTGCAGGAGGCAGCTGATCGATGTTTCTCTCTCATCAATGTTTCTAACTCTCTATCTCTCTCCCTTCCTCTCTGTAAAAAATCAATACAATATATATTTTTTTAAAAAAGAATGATCCTTTCTTTAAAAAAAATTGTCTTTTAAATACTTCTCTAAAAATATTTACACATTGTCTAAGAAAATCAATTATTCAGAGGCTAAACACATGCTTTTACTACTATAAAAATAAAAATACATGGCATTCTTATCACAATTAGAGATAAAAATAGGCATTATAATGTAAATGCAATATACAATTCCTTTTGTAACACCCCAAGCTGCTACTAGGAATAAAGGAATAGGTTCAATTATTAGTTCTCTAGTCTGAGATATTCCCTGAATAAGTATACTATGCTGTAACCATTATTATTAAGCTTTCAATCCACACCTTATGACTTAATAAAAATATAAGTATCTCAAAACACACACATACACACACAACCTGCGCCTTCTTTCTCCCACCTGAAGTATAATTGTAGCATGTAGTTGGTGTTTTGTTTTTTTTTAAAAAAAGAGCACAAATCTAGATTCTAAAACATCAAAATGCATGTCAATTTTATTGCATATGTTTAGAGAAGCTGAGGGGTAATCACATCATAGATCACTCAGGAAATTTAATCTCACTGGATAGCTGTCTTTGACTCTAAAGTTTAATTCATCAGGAATAGTAGTTATTCCCTGATATCTTTCTTTTTTGTTCCTTCAAGACAGGGTCCTCCTCTCCCTCCTTCCCACTCATCTCCCTCTTCCCTAGGTGACAATCTTTTCAGGGAGCTCCATGCCATATTTTATGAAAATCAATTTTGCTTTTTATAATTCTCTGCTCCACACATCACAAAATTAGCACAACAGAGAAAACAAAGATTCTCCCCAAGAAACTGGAAGAAAGAACCTGTCAACAATCAAATATTTTTGAATGCTCATACATCTTCGCACATTGGGGAGGAAATGTTGTCTCAGGGTATTAATTGCATAAATCCTTTTTTTCCCATGTGGCATCCAATTAATTGTTCAGAGTGAGTATGGTAATTTTTCCAATGCATTATTAAGGCTAAATTTGAACTGCAAAATATCATAGGCACTGAAATCAATAACTTAACAAAACCTTGGAACTGGATTATTTTATACCAGGAGTGAGCATGCATTTTTCCTTAGAGTTACACAATATTTTTCAGTTTTAATATTACTTTCACTATGCTCTAGTTTAAATTTTGATAATTAAAATATTAAATTAACTGTAATATTACCATTGTTGTCTCTTGAATGGATCCAAAACTGTTGATAAAAATGTTTACTACTACATCAA